CTACATGAACACGTTCATCTGGATCCAATCTCAATCGAAATTAGTAATAAGTCGAGTCTCCAGGGTTATTAAAAAATTGCAATGTTATTTGTGTCGTAGCCTTGAATTGTGACATTGAATTAAATTACTTTTTAAGTCGTTATAATCATGGAAATTTTCTCTTCCATATGCAATTTGAATCATGTCGATACAACGTTCGGTTCTCGAGATATCGTCGTTTAAAGAGGACCGTAATTTTTACGCTTGGACTATGTGCGTCTCGCTTGCACACGCACGGACCTCTCACTCGCACCCACTCACTGGTGGGAGCAACATAACCCATCCCACTCAAGGCACGGGTGCGCTGGTCACTGACAGCTGCTGACTCAGCGGGTTCCTACTATTCCTAATAGCAACGAACACGTTTCCAGGAAAAAGTGGGCTGTACCTATATAGTCGACCGTATAGCAGACGCTGTAGGAATTTAAAACATAATATTTCGGGAACGGATTGAGGTATCGACTTGAAAAAAAGGGCATTTTCAATAGGAAGATTCCCTCTATGTCTGGAGTGGAATTTAGAGAGAATATTCGAGGATCTCCTGGGTCTATTTTGACATGAATGTTGCGGTTACGTTGCCACGTATTGCAAGTGGCTTCGTCAATATTTAGTATCAACGTGTGATCATTTAAATAATTAATGTTGGGACTTCGTATTAATTTATTCAGTAATAATTAATATCTTCGGTGGAATATTCGAGAATTTCCTGGATGTATTTTATGATTAATATTGAAGTCCTGGTGATATAATTTGGCGAATTCTATTAATATTACATTATTCTATTTTTACGATAAATGGCGAGTAATGAATGCATAATTCCATGAAATACAAGTTTCTTTGAACTGTACAGTTTCGGGTTTTCGTGCTTTCGGATTAATATAATGCTGCGTGATCAATATTTCCATTAACTACCTAATGCAAAATGTTGTTACGCACTGTGTAATTAGTGGATAATGTTATAGAAATTAGTTACTTGAAAGCGATGAATAATCAACATTATCTACTATTTTTCAAGGTACATAATACATCATGTCGTCCAATAATATCAGAATCATTCTTTAAATGAACAATAGAGTTTTTACGCGTGGAAAAGTTCATTTCGTTGTCCGCTAATTAAATATTAATCATTTGTTCTGCAACCGATTTCGAAGTTAAATTCTGCGGATTTAACTTTGTAATGGAAGAAACGTTAAATGTAATTTAAAATCCGTAGAGAAGGCAGCTTTGAAAGGTTGCAGCTTTGTCGTATTAAATCTTCTTTCGCAGTAAACAGCTTTGGAAAATTTTATCTCAATAACATTCCTGTTATTTTTAGCGATAAAAAATATCGTTCTTTTGCACTCAACATGCACCACAAAGCTTGCTTCCACAGCAATGCTTAAATATCCCAGACCTTAACATAATTTACCGAGTGAAAACTGTGGCAAAGCCACCGAAAAAGAGTGTACTAACAAAAAGCAATTCGCTTTTCCGATATCGACTTTTCCTTAAAATTCATCACGTATAATTTGCGAAGTGGTATACGATGAAGAATGTTCCTTTTTAATTAACAGCAGGTAACAATTCCGTCTAATGAAACTAATATTAATGTAAGAATATGAATAATTTTAGATAGCAGTAAGTGCATTCTAATTTTGAAAATTATGCTAATTAATCATTCATTATTTACACGGGAAAAAATTGTCTTTTAACTTACTCACGTGTGAAGCAACATACTGTTTATTAACTCCTAAGCAGGGAAATAGTTATAAATTTTTAAACCATGAGAAAGAATGTCTTATTTGTCATAATTTTAATTATCACAAAAAGCGTATTTTATTTGCCATAAGCAAATAAATAAATAAACTTTAATGCAGCACACTTTGAATTCTCTTTGAAGTAACTTATACGATGACTAAAATTTGAGTCATTATTTTTCAGAGTTTTGAATTACTTGCAAAATATAATTAAATCGAAAAATGTGTCTTACTAGGTATAAATGGATAAATAAATTAAAATTGGCTAAACGCAGTTTGATTGCTCCTCGAAATGTATTTTATTGCCATTAAAGTTTCGATTCGCTATCAATCAAGGCGGAAATTGCACCAACGAAACGGAGATGCGAACGACGGCTTCGAATCAAATCAATCTATTAATACAACCAATCTTTGAAACTGCTCGGCTCGAAAACGCGTGTTCAGTGGAAACGCATTGATCGGTCACGACAGGAACAGAGATTCAAGCTAATCGTGACGATCTCGAGTTTGGGACTCCACTGTCATCCGGATGTGCGCTTGTCAGGCTAAATGTCACGGCGAAGCTTTGTGTTCACGTCAAAGGAGATACACTAACAAGAGACTGAGGGTCTTTTTAGACCCGCATTTCAGAATTCTGAACAATTATCACATATTCCATGGTGTTTCAAAATTATGTAGAATACTTATGTAATATTTATTTCTTACTAAAAAATTTTCATTCTCACGAAGTGAATTTGATATTGAATATTTATTTCACATTTGCAGATATGATTTTTGTCATGCTCACTGAATAAATTTTATTTTAAGAATTCATCTGGTAGTCGTTTATGTAATTATATAATACTAATTGCTTGGAAAAAATTCTCCATTCTTCTTATGGAATACATATATGACCAGTGAATAATTTTTGCTCTGTCTGGTATTTAATCTTTCTAGTATGAAAGGGTGCAGTTTTACATAAAAATTAATTTGTTTATTTAATTGGAAAACAAATTGTGGACGAAAAAGGGAATATAAAAATAGTACACGTGTTGCGTTAATTTTAAAATCTTCATGTTGAAATATGATTTGCTATAAAATACATGGAGAAGACCGGAGGCTATACTGGGAAATCGAGGGAAGAAATAAACGTATAAAAGCTGAATCCAGGGTACACGGTGATTCATCTACGACCGTGCAAGGATTAATTCCGTTTCCATTTAATTATAATGCAGCTGTCAAACCCTTCAAACGTGATATAAAATTTTCATTTTTCCAATAATGATGTAGATACTTGAAGCAAAATTAATGTTGATTTTTACTGAAATACTATACATTATTTTAATTATGATATTTTAATTATAATTATTTATTCACTGGATGCAGCCCAGAAATGATGGAAACTGACAGAAAATGATTTCCTAGGTAAAAATAAATAAATTAGAAATACGAAAGAAAAATGTTTTGGCTAAATATTATTTTTAGAAAAGATTGATTTCGATAAATTAATTACGTACATATATACTTATAACATTGTTCAAAAATTTGAAATTATTTTTAAGACATAGGACACGAGCATATAGAATTTTCTACTAACTTTATTGCAAATTCGAAATTGAGACTGGAGACGTCAATTACAACCTTATTCACTTCAATTTACTACTCTACTTTATCTACTTGAAAAAGATAAAGCTACTTTACTTAAGGACACCAGCAATTTCAGACAGAATTTGAAATTAGATGCAAATTTTAATTGAAAATTAATTACCAGAGTCAAAACTTCATTGAAAATTCAATCGAGGGAAAATTACAATTTCAAAATAAATTTAGGAGTACAAAAACATTTCAAGTTGGAAATAACAACTTTCTGCTTATGAATTACATTAAACTGAAAGTGCCTCCTAACCAAAAGCATATGGGACCCTAACCTCAAATTTACAGTTACATAGGGTTGAACGAATGAAACGTTATTCACAGAGTGCTCCAAGGTAGAATATTCATCAACGAAGTGGACCCATGTGCCAGGGAGAATCATAGCCCTCAGAGTTTCTCCGGCTTTAATTGCGTACAACAAAATTCAAATTGCACTGGATCAAATTAATTCTAAACATCGGCTTGTTTGTCTATGCAAAGGAACCAGCCCTGGGTCAGTGGAACGATTAAAAGCAGACCGTTTGAAACGAGAACAGGGAAGGGTCATGCGTGAACTTTTCTTCCTAATGAAGCTTTACTCTAGGGATAATTAGTGGTAACGTGTATTACCATGGATAAAGCTCGAAAACCTTGTGTGGATTGAGCCCAAAGGCCTGGGTGTTTAACTGCTAGCTAGTTGAGTCGAGACTCACTTCTATCTTCAACCTGCGAGATACCCACCCGTTTCTCACCCCTCCCATACGGACTCCGTTGGCTGAGTTTACTTAGGATAGGCCATCACTCCAGATCCAATTTACATATGACATTTCAAATTACGAATCCTAATCTCACCCAAACCTATAATAGTCGAAATGCCTCATATAATTTTAGCTCAATATCTAACAGAAATCAAATGTTGATTTTGTCTTTGAAGAAGATTTAATTAGACCATTCTGTGGTAACTTTGAAAAGTTAATTAAAACAAATCTTGGTAATTATATTGTAGTTTGTAGAAAATGTTTGTCATTCTTTTTGAAATCTAGCTAAGAGACATGAAAAGTTTTCAAAAAATAAATGTCAAGTTGGTATCCAACATCCATGAAGGATTCTTAAAAATATCGTGCGATAAAAGCATGTAACAATTTTCAAAAATTTGAATGGCTAAAATAGGAAAGGAAAGTTTGAAAAACATTTTTGACATTTTTATATTATATTTGAATAGTGTAATTAATTTAGGGATGTAAAAATAACACGAAGTGCTAAATGATGTCAATTATGTGTTACTTATGATGCTATAGTGTACTCAATATTGCACTTAATTAGCAATAAGTTAATTTGTGAAATTGTTGAAAAATGTCAAGAGTCTGCGAAAAATGCTTGTGTACCTAGCTAAGATTTTTAGGTTCCCTTCTCTTCTAATAACAGCTATGTTTCTGAAGTGGCATAGTATACATTGCCTATTGAGCGGCTACCATGGGGGATCAATGATTCCATGAAAGTGAAAGTGTATGTTATGTAACACATACCCAACAAGAACAAATCCAAATACCCACTCAACCATTTGACATCGTGGGTAACAGCGAGACCATTTGCTGTATCTACGTGACTACTCACTCTAAGAACACCTCGGATTCGCTTCTGGGCAACACCAACCTCGGCAAGACGATAGCCTTCTTGCGTCTGGTCTTCAGCGTCTGCGACGAAAACTGGAACTCCGTCGACTGGACAGGTGAATGCGGGCTGAGGATAGTGATTTTTCTGTCACTGCCACCTGGACTGGTCAGGGAGAACACGTTGGAGGGCGGTGGTAGGCTCAGATGTTGAGGAATCTTCCTCTCCAATCCGGTATTAGCGAACAAACCGCGTCTCACTTCAGCGTTCAAACTTTCCTCCCTATGCAGATTTTCACTGCTCTTAGACTCCACCGTCACGATCCTCCTGACATCCCTGGTAGAAGATGTCAAGAAGCTTCTGTAGTGGCTTTTGGAGCTGGCCACGTGAGACTCTGATGAGAGGGATAGGGATTCCAGGGACTTGGAATCCTCTATATAACGTTCATCCGCACTAAGGAAATTCCTTGACGTTCTTAGGCTCTCCATAGACCTGGCTGTTATCTGACCAGCACTTCCAGTGGTTAGAAGATGCTGTTGCTGATGCTGTTGTTGCTTCTGCAACTTGGACAAGCTCTTCACCTCAGGTTCATACTCCTCTTGGCTGGACGAGGATTGAGGACTTCGGTGGAAGAGGCCTAGCCTGGCTCCAGGGAACCTGGAGGTCCTCAGCTCCTCTTCGTTCACTCTCAGACTTGTTCTCGTCATAGTCTGTTGTTGACTCATGAGCAGGGATGCTGCTTCCTCGGGCACGTCTAAGGAGTGACGGTCTCTGCCCGAGATTCTGTTGCCTTTCTCATCAGTGACTAGGGGTTCGGATACATCTTCGTCCTTAGGGATATTCTCTACCTCGTTCTCAGAGGTGCACTCCATGGTGTCTGAGTCTTCAGTGGAGTTTCGCTGACGAGTGTCGAATCTAGCGGAGCTCTTGGACGTGAATTTGGAAGAAGAGACCAGAAGTTTACTCTTCGCTTCCTTGTGGGACAGTTTATTCACCAGAGTCAGAGATTCCCGTTTCTCATCCGTATCGTCGTCGTCCATATTGAAGGATCTCGAGACGGCGAATCGACGATATAGGGACGAGATAGGCTTAGCAGAGGAAGAGGGAGCAGAGGGCCGACGAGGTTGAGGGCTTTAGGTGACACAGGCAGGCAGATCGAACGGATCGTTCCTGAAACAGCGCTGGCAATTTCGTGGCCCGGGTCAGGGATGATCGAATACCGATTTCAGTCGGATTTCCGGGATCATTACAGCGTGAATTGCTTCCTCTAGCTCGTGTCTCCGTTATGGTAACTCCTCTGGTTGGCGCTTTGCAGGCTGAAAGAGTTAAGGCCTATGTCTCGCGACGATTCGAACTCTTTGGGGCCCCAGAATTTCTTTTGGAGTACCTTTGTCACCGTTCGTGTTTCGAATTCAAGTTTGAAACAACGAACTTTGACCGAGCAGAATACTATTTTGCATCTGGAATTTTGTCAACGGGCTTTCCTGTCATAGCAGATGGCATATGAGAATCGTTTGAACCTGGAACGATTCTAACCGACTGCTAAGCTTATCATAGTTCATCTATCGACCAGATAGCCTGGTGGATTAACCCAGAAACGTTTGGCTCTCAAGGATTAGTATGCTTTCGCGTGCGCCTCTAACCAGGGACGACGAATCATTGCCGACGAATACGTTTTCGTCCTAATTTAACAACGATCAACGAATAATACTAATATTTCATTGTCCAGTCATCAAAGGTATCTTATTAGGTCTATCTATACTCAATTCATAGGTTCAACTTCCAGATCGACCTGAATGATAACATATAGCTATTAAATCACAAAGAGGACATAGTTGACCAAGTTTCAACTCAGTTACTGGAAAATAGGATTCTAAAATAATTCACTGATCACCTATCAACGATCAAGTTAGGTCAATGTTAGGTTATTACAGAACAGACTCCCGGGATGAAAATTGTAAGATTCGGGTGTTCAGGTATGGAAAGGATATTATCGTGACTATCTGGGGCTAGTTGTTGTCTACAGACTAGGATTCTAGAACGATCAAAATCGACGCATCAATGTTCAATCGTCGAACGTCAGCGGATAGGCCCACGGTCAACCACCTTCCACTCGCAATCAATTTCCCATGAAACATCGTATCCTTCCGTGTTCCCAGCTGGCCTGGCTTCGTTCCAGTTTCATGCAACTATGAAAAATCGCTGGATGAGAGCCTTCAAGCGGAAGATCGATCCGTTTCGCGTCACCGGTTGATCCAATCGTCGTTAGCATCGATTCTCGCGAGCGCGTTAACGCGATGGCCACGATTTTACGGTGACGACAATCTGATATCATTTTTAAACGATCGCTTAGGATGTAGAGATACGAAGCTAACAGAAGGTTAAGAAATCGAGCTTACTGCCTTCTTCGTTAAAAGATTCGTAGATTGTGACATTTATTTCAGGTTTTAAAACGAAGTCAGGAGAAATGGACGTTTATGGTTATGCATTTTCATTTTTATATTCTTCTTGGGGTTCTTGGTTAAGAGCCTGATTTGATTAATTATGAGAGGGATGTTATATTTAACATTTTTCATTTTCATTATCGTCTTCTTTCAATTTCCAAACTTTGTTAAATACGAATGTAATCACGAGTAAAGAAAAATTGGATATGGCGATCATAAGTGACCTAGAATACAACGATTCGATATTGTTTTATTATTAAGTTAATTCCTCAGTGCTTTGTAATCGTAATACTTCGTATCGAGGAAATTGGAACTGAGAGCTGGAGCAATTGTGAAAAACAGATTGAAGTGGATCGTGAATCGTATTATACTTTCATTATTAATGATCTATCTGCGTGTACACAAGAATATTAGTATTGCTTTATATTATTAATCAATTAACTCTCACGTATTCATTCGTGAAACGTAATAACAGTCTTACACTTTGTCATACTTTATCCATAATTTAAAGTTCCTCTGTTGTTTTCTATCACCTCTATATATATATCAAATTTCAGTATTAACTTAGTTAATTTAATCATCCATTCCAAATCAACCATTTCACATTTTCATACTAAATGACTCAATATTCGATGTTAACTCAATATGAATATTCATATGGTATATAAATAGAAAAGGAATTTAAACGAGTTCAAAAATTTGATTCATTATTACGATATTTTTAAAAAATGGTAATCACTGTCCCAAAAATGGAAAAACCATCTCAATGTTCCAATTAACTACTCCAAAATTAATTCGAAACAGTCGTGAAAGAAAAACTGAATAGAAAACAATGGGATCGTTGATTCTTTATCGTACAGTCCGGTTCGAAGAATTTTTTCGACGGGAATTGTTAGAGAATGCATTGATGCGAATTAATTATTGGTACGAAACGAAATAATGAATCAATCAATCTCGATTCTGTGCTATGTTTGCATTTTTATCATGCCAACAGCAATTTCAATCTGTTCGGCACTTGAAACAACCGAATTTTCGATCGGAAGGCTGACACGACAGTCAATCCCATTCAAATTTCCCGCCTGAAATTCTAACCTATACGATCAAAATTGAACCTTTAATCATTTCTGACTCTATACTTTCTGAAACATGTTAGCATCATTATTTGATTACTATTAATCGTCAAATAGCTGTGATCGTGTTAAAAATAATTTTCATTTGCTACGTAGAATATATTTCTGTATCTTTTAATTTAATTAAAATTACAGTTATTTAATTATTGCACTACTCGCAATATCCCATTTATTGAAATACTTTCTCTGTTGAAGAAATAACGACTTACAATTTCTTAAAACATTATTTAAAATTATACACCCATTTGAATTTTATTATTATCTTATTTTATATTCGAGATACTAAAAAATGTTTTAAACAAATGTCGAATGGTCTCATGGGGCTTTAATAATTTTCCGAGTTATTAAAATATCTTCTAAACCAATACACATTGCAATAAGTGGCCTAATTCTTTTGCACAGATAATGTCGAGGTACATCGATTAGTATGTTCCAAAGTATACGATACTTGACCTTTCTATCATTTTAGATAAGCCTTATGCTCTACATCAGATTGCACACACTCTCACTCTATTCAACTTTGTCCTAAACCATGACTTAATACCAACTATAGTTTCAGAGGTATTCAACTGGGTCGATTTAAACGTCACACGTTGTTAAAAAAAAAAATACTATATTCCATTACAAAAGCTATACTATACAATTACCCAGCAGAGATTGTAAATATATCAGAACCATCAGTCAGATGAAAATTACGAAATCGAATCACATTATTAATACGACCTAGTTTGAAATATAGAATACCACAGAACCCCGAGCAGAACGTTAATGCTGTATTGTCCTGATTCACTCATTGGCCAGGTCTCAAATTGCATAATTACAGCCAACCAAAAATTAAACGCGCTGAAAGAATTAGAAAATAATCGTATAAAAAACGACGTGTATTTCCGAGTGAATTCCCAACACGAATTCTTTTTGCAGAAAGTAGATATCGTCCAGGCCCCGGGGTACTCCATTACAGAAATTAAAGGACAAATTGTCCAGATCGAATTAGCCACGCGCGATTAATTCCGCAGCTGCCTTTGCAAACGGGATTCGAGCGCGTCTGCACAAATGATCCCGACGCGAACAATGAGGACAATAGAGACGTCTGCTCCAACGCCTCTCGTTTTCAGCGGCAAATGGCGTTTAATTCCGGCGACGGCCACCAGGGCTCGCGCCCGACATAACGGGACACCGTTCCGTTCTCGCGGACCCTTCGCCGTGGGTGATCGCCTCCTGGAACGCATTTCTAAATTCGTTTTCGACCGTTTCATCGCCTCTCCGCCCCTTTGAGGGGATCGAGTGATACTTATTAATAGTTCCCTTCAGCGAGACGAAGATCGGCGTGAGTTCGTGAACCCAGAGTGATTTATAACAGGGTGTCGGGGAGACTGGTTTGGGGAAATGGCGTGTTTTGGTTGGTATTTGAAGGTAGCCTGTTGTGAGAGGTGTTTGTAACGTGGTACAAAGGTGGAGACAAAGGAGGGCAGTAAATCGTGAACTACAATAACCGGTTGACGAGTTGAGTGCTATTGCATTGGATTACAGTAATACTTTGTTAAGCATTGTAACAACTAATTGTAATGTTTAGTATTGTATGGCAGTATTTTTAAATAGAATTACAGTTTTTTGAAATCCTCGATACTGCAATTTTCAGTGATTAATGTAATATTAAGTACTCCAAAATTAAATAGATTTAGGAAAATATATATATCGAGAAATTTATTATGGTGAGTATTGCAGTATTAAGTGAATTAAAACTGAGTAGTGTAGTTTTAATAAGTATATACTCATAAAATTGAGTACTGCACGTAGTACTGAATATTAAAAACTTAGTTATTGATTTATTATGAATGTCATTATGAGATTGTAATTAACTGTAATTCTAATTACTATAATGTGTGTATCAAGAGGATTGAGTCGAATTGTCAATTATTTAACATCCAAGTATTAACGCGTTATTCAACCAATAAAATATTTGACATCATATTTAATAAATATTGGGGGACCCTTTTCTTTCTAAATTCCATATTAACTCAATCTTAATTTTCAACTCAAATATCAAACCAAGCTTTAAATATAATCTTTTTCAAATATACACCAGGAATTATTTCTCCAGATTTTTAATTAATTCAAAATTTACCTTCTTTAAAGTCGATATTTACTGAACCAGAACCTTTAACCACAAAACCAAACTAGATATTTTAGGACCAAAATCTATAGCATATTCTTTTATAACAATTTAATTGTTCCTCGTTTCCTATTTTTAAAAATTCTTTTATTTTTCTACTATTTTTTCGCCTGCAATTCTCACGTTCCTCTCTAATTAATTCTCTTCTACTCTCGCACGAGATTCTAATGATCATGAGGCAATTAAAAGTGCACGGAGGTAAGAGGTGAATATTTCTGGACTTCTTTGTCGTCAGTTACATTAATAATAATTGACGCCAGAGTTCTCGTCGTTACTTTATACGCTTCCCTGTGATTCGCAGCGAGATTCGAATATTATTCGAGCGAATATTTCTCGAAGCGTTGCATTGTTCCCTAACTTCCGGTTTATTGGCGAGAAAATATAATTAACGAAGGATCTTCTACAACGATGATCAGTCGTCAGGAACGAGGGAACGATGGGATGCTACTTTCTTGAAAGAAGGAATATTTCATGTGACACACGAGAAAATTATACGACTTTCTATTTAATACGCAGAATTAAATTTGAATTAGGCGTTTCTTCCTTAAAGCTGAATATTGAACTAATTC